ATTCACATGCTCATAGTTCTAAAAAAAAAAAATAGAAGGGTCCCTTTTATCCTTCACCCAGTTTCCCCCAGTGGTGACATCTTGCATAACAATCAAACTTTACCAGAACCGGAAGTTGACATTGATACAATCCACCCACCTTGCTTCACCAGTTTTACATGTGCTCGTTTTGTGTTCGAACCAGTTTCATACAAAACTATATTTTAAGTATCCTCATGCAGCAAATTATTTATGGGATTCTATTTTGATTCCCTCAATCAAGAAACTGTCCTTAATTCATAACTTCAGTAAAACAAACCTGACTTTTCCTATATGGTATTTGTTTAAGGCACAGCCAATAAGGATATGTGAAAAGCCCTCTCTAACCTATTTGCAGAGTGAGGTAGGAGGCATTGCCTTTGGCTCAGCTCATACTAATTTTAAGGCAGCTTGTTTGCAGAAATTCAAGTTTGGGTCCGTTTGTTTTTTCAGACAGCGAACAGCTTAATGTGGATTCTCTACAATTTATCCCGTAATCCCCACGTGCAACAAAAGCTTCTTCAGGAAATTCAGAGTGTATTGCCTGAGACTCAGATGCCACGGGCAGAGGATTTGAGGAACATGCCATATTTAAAAGCCTGCCTGAAAGAATCTATGCGGTAAGGACACATGCCTAAGCCTGTACGAATAAGTTAGAAAGCTGTTCTTTTAAATACATAGTAGGGGGTCTCCCCCATAGACAGCTCCCACAGGTAATTCATAAACATCTACCAGCTGCAAAGAAAGAGCCTTACAACTGTATTCCTTTTCTATTACTCATTTCCTAAATCACTTGGGAAAATTCTATTACATCTTGGAAAGTCAATGCCCTCCTGTTTAAATCAGTAATAATAATGCTCTAATGAATATCGGGCGGCCGAATGCACTAATTAAAATTCAGGGCATGACTGAGGGATCTGAGATGAAAGCCCAGCAAGGGAACCATAGTATTATATGATAAGACATGGAGACGGCTTTGTTTTTGAGCCTCTGGTATAAAATGTTCTTTGAAAGTTCTTTTTAAGCCCTTTCTGGAAAAACAAAACTCACACCCTCTTAGGATTAGAAGGAAATATCTTTAACTTCATAAAGGGTAGAGAGCAGAAACCTAGAACAAAGGTCAAGATTTAGGGTGAAGCATGAAAAACATACCCATTTGCAATCTAGAGTGAAATGGGAAAACCACTATGAACAGCTACTAGGCAGGCTTGTTCTAGGGGGTTAGCCAACCCAATAAGATAAGGAATAAAAGCAAGATAGAAATATCGGGAAGAAAGAGACAAAACCTCTTTGTGAAGACTTGTGACTGGGTTTCCTTTTGGAGCATGACCTTATGTAACAATTGATTAAGTAGACTCTGTATTCCCACGACACCTGAGCTAGAACCTGGTCTGTGCCCACCTTTGCATCTTTGATTTTTTTTTTCAGGCTTACCCCGAGTGTGCCATTTACAACCAGGACTCTTGACAAGGCAATGGTTCTGGGTGAATATGCTTTACCCAAAGGAGTAAGTAGAATTGTACATTTTGCACCATACAGAGCTTTGAAAGACACACTTTCCAAATACTCATCCGATTCCCCTGAAAATTTTTACAGGGAAAGCATTCGTTTTGCAAATATGTAGATTGTAGTGCATAGGTGACATGTTGCAAAGTATAGTATTAGGAACAAGGGTTACGGTAGACCTGGATTCAAGTCAAGCCTTGAGGGACTTATGTACCCTCTGTGAGCCTCACCTTTCTCACCTGTAAAACGGGGGTCATATTGAAATCGACCTCATGGGGCGGTTCTGAGAATGTGACACAAAACTTTGAAGTTCTTTACCTTTTTACTACCTGGCACATTTCAAGCCCTCCATACATGTGGGCAATCATCATTATTATAAATTCATGGGTTACTTTTACATTTGTAAGGTGATTGCTGTTGTAAATTTTGCTCTGCAAATGTCTTCTGGTTATTTTTAATGTTCTGTGTTTCGCTGTGGTTTTAGACAGTGTTGATGCTGAATACCCAGGTGCTGGGGTCCAATGAAGAAAATTTTGAAGATTCAAGTCAGTTTAGACCCGAACGATGGCTTCAAGAGCAAAAGAAGATCAACCCATTCGCACATCTGCCGTTTGGCGTTGGGAAAAGAATGTGCATTGGTCGCCGGCTAGCGGAGCTCCAGCTCCACTTGGCTCTTTGCTGGGTAAATCCCTGACTGGCTCTTGGGAGCTGGGTTCTGTGCTCTTCTGCCAGGCAGGAGCAGAGAGCTAATTGTGCTCTTTTGTGCATGTGTGTTCCAGATTGTCCGCAAGTACGACGTCGTGGCCACGGACAACGAGCCCGTGGAGATGCTGCACTTGGGCCTCCTGGTACCCAGCCGGGAGCTCCCCATCGCTTTCTGCCAGCGATAAGTGGCCTCAGGTGAGCCTCTGGGGTGTTGTGTGTGACCAAAGGGGTGAGCCGAGCTCGGAAGTCAGCCAGACCTGGGTGTGAGGCCCTGCTCACCCTGATTCTCTGGACGACCTTGAGCAGTTACTTCACCATTCTGCCTCCATTTTTTTTTTAATTTTTTAAATGGGGACCCAAGTAGTATCTGCCCAGAAAGTTGATATGACTACTAAATACTTAGCCCAGAGCCTGGCACCAACTAAGTGCTCAATAAATGCAAGTTGCTGTTACAGTTTTTGTACATATCAGGGGTGGACAGACTTTTTTCTGTAAAGGACCAGTTGGCCAATATGTTAGGCTCTGCAGGCCGTAAGGTCTCTATCACATCCACTTAACTCTGCTTGGCAACTTGAAAGCAGCCTCAGCCAATTTGTCAATGAATAGGTGTGGCTGTTGTATCAGTTTTCTATTGCTGCCATAACAAATTGCTAAAGCAAATTACTAAAACTTGGTTAAATAATACAAATTTATTAAGTTACAGTTCAGAAATCTGACACAGCTCTAATCAGGCTAAAATCAAGGTGTGGGCAGGGCTGAGTTCCTTTCTGGAGGCTCTTGGGGAGAATCTATTTCCTTGCTAATATGGGATGTTGGCAGAATTTAGTTTTTTATGGTGTAGGTCTGAGGCCCCCGTTTCTCGCTGTCAGCTGAGAGGTGCTCCCCGCTCCAGAGTCCACCTGCATGCCTTGGTTCAGGACCTCGTCCTCCATCTTCAAAGCCAGAGCTAGTGGCGTTCCTCTCTGTCGCATCTCTCCGACAGGCTATTTATTCAGGATAATCTCCCCAATCTCATAGTCCATAACCTTACTCACATCTGCAAATTTCCTTCCGCCCCCTAAAGTAACAGATGCACAGGTTCCGGGAATTAGGGCATGGATATTTTGGGAGGGCCATTATTCTGCCTTCTAAGGCTGAGTTCCAATAAAACTTTATTTATAAAAACAGGTGGTGTGTCCTATTTGGCCACAGGGTCTTTGTTTACATACCCCTGGCATATAAGTGTATATGTTTAATATATATAATCCTAGCCTGTATTAAATACAAGGTAATACTTTTCCTGCAGTATACCACCCACTGTTAATTATCGAAGTGATAAAATGTTACCCAGAGATACCTCTAATATCATCTTATATGGAAACATGGCATTCCCAACGCACGGCTTTATAGAATTACATGTCAGTATTCAAACTCAGTTTCAATCATGCTGTGCTTTCAACAGCATCTCCTAGAATTTGCCTAGAGTGAACTAGTTACTATTTGCTAACTGCAAATTAAGGGGCATTTGTGGATAAGTGGTTATTTAGGCAAACATGCAGTTTACAGATAAAATTTTTGAATGAGGCCTAAATGAATTCCTCCTCAACTGTCTGGTACCACTAGGCAATTGGTCAAATTCTCAGCATCCCAACAGCATTGAATCAAGGAGGACGATGAAGGAATTCTAGCTTCATTTTGAAACACCCAGCGTTCAGCCAGGACAGCACACACATTTATGGTGGCGAATCACACCATTGGCAAGAGCCCATGGCAAATTTTGGTTTCAGCATTTATTTTTGCTAAGAATTCCTCTCATTTAATTGTATATAATCGGGATATACTTTATTTTCCAGATTTTTTTCCTACCAAGACCTGGAGCAACGGTTTTTATCCTCCCTGCAGGAATGGTGCTATGGCTTCTGCATTACTCGAACGCAAACTTTAAAAGCCCTAGCATGAAACAGCACCTGAAGGACACTGAGGCACAGGTGTTTATACTCTGTCTTCTGTACAATCATCCCAGACGTGGTACTGTCTGTATAGATAATGGTATTTATTAAGACTGTATCTGTTGGAATACAAGGCACTCTGCAGGGTACAATGCTAGCTTCCACTTAACCGATGTCAGCACCGTCCTGACTTACACAGAGCTACCTGTGATCTTGTTTCCTCTTGCATTTTCCATGACATGACAGGGAGGCTGGGCGCTTGTCAGTCAGTCAGGTAAAAATCACTGGATGTTTCTGTCCCTCCCCTACCAAATTCACTGCTTGAATCTTTACTTCTCAAAAGTAAGTTTCTATTTATTTCACAATGAAAGACCCACTGTAGCTACATTGTCTGGAGCTCGCAGTAGTAACATCAACAATCCATTTATTTTAACTCTGTTTAATGTAATATTTGGAAAAAGACTTGCGTAATAATGTAAGCAAAGCTAAATGTTGTCAGGTAAAAGTTATCAGGTCTCTATGATGTTGCATTTTTCCTGCTTTGAAATAGAAACATTATTGGGAAAATAAAGAATACCTCTATTTTAAGAAGTCCTTTAATGAAGTCAAAACCTCTTATCTAAGAATACCTCAATCATTTACTGTGGCATCATTTTGTGAAAGGACCCAGAAAGTCTTTATTTAGTTCACGTATTTCCTCTAGGCATTAAGGAGTGGACCAACAGTTTTTAAATTGTATGTTTATGTGTGTGTATTCTAATGGCAATTTGCTTAAGTCATTTTTTAAAATACATATGCTATTCAACTTAGGATCTCTGGTTTAGGGCAATATTCTAAAGTTTAGTCACAGCTTAAAAATATTCAGTGACTTTCCACACCTTAATTTTCCCATCTATAAAATAGAACAGTAGTGAAGTGTGCATACATTATAGATTAACCATATAACTCGTGATATGTGACTTAAACTCCTTGGGGAGATGTGATTTCATAAATGGAAAATGCATAGAGATTTATAAAACTTTCTTGAAACATTGTGTTTACATATAGTTTATTTACACACATTTTTTACTACTATTTTTCCTAAGAGCATACTCTATATTCCTATATATTTGATAGTTTGCTTTATAGGTTATATTTTTAGAATATTTCAGAAGTATACATTTATAGCTTTATATTTGAATAAATATGTACATATTGCTAAAATGAGTATATGCTTTCTTCTCACTGTGAAATTATTTTTAGAATTATAAATCTATGTGTTGTCCGATTTCAACTGCCTAACTTTTGTGAATTCTCTGAAAGTAAGAATAAAGGTTTTTAAATATTTGACAGATGTTTCCTCTTCACTGCATTTGTTGCAACAACATTTAAAAATTCAAATTTTGTCTTAGTGGGAAAATGTTCTCCTGTGGCCAGTTTACGAGCTCTGTATCATGAAATCTACCTTTACAAAAATCCGGACTTCAATAGCACTTTTACAGGAAGCAATCATTTGAATGGCAAAATAATTTTCCTTTTATGTTGTTGCTGCTTAAATATTGTCCAAGTCCGTTTACTTCTATGTTTACCACCTGGGACATGGTAGAAACTCCCAGCTGGTCTCCATCTTATGTGTCCCCCAGTGTGTTCTTCGTACACCTGACATATGGGCCTTTTCAAAACCCAGACCTGCTGGTGTCTCATTCTGGCTTCTGTGACTTACCATTGCTCTTATATAAAGAGACAATTATTTAAGATGAACTTCATTGTCCTGTAAAGTATGGCCTCACTGACCCCAGCCCACATCACCCATGCCCTGAGTGCCTCTGGATTCCAGCCACACTGCCTTCTGCCAGTTCCCTCGATTCCTTAAATCGAGTGTTGGCACCTGCAGCCCTCCCTCCTGGCACACTCTTTACCCCTCCCTCGCCTCCTCTGCACCACTCAGCCCACCGCAAGCTTCTTAGAGGAAGTCTTCCTGGATGACGGGGATCCCCAGAGGCTGACCCTGGGACCAGGGTTCATTAAGGACCTGATTCCCCGGGAGACCTGTGAGGGGGTGAGGGCAGCAAGAGAGGGAAGGAAAGGAGTCAAAGGAGGGTGCGATTTTGGGTACGTTCCAGACTCAGCCTGATCCCGGGGGAGCTCTGGAGTGTACATTACAGCACAGTTTTCTCTCCTCATGGCAAAGTCTCAAGCTGCACTGTAGGGATGCAAACTCCCAGCTACCTCTAGCACTTTCTGTGTCCACGCGAAGTGGCTACAGCGGCCCATGGGGGTCTGTGAGGAAGGCAACAGGTGCTAGCCAGTGGGAACGAAGCAGGCAGAATCTGGGGGGAGGGCACCCCAGCAGGTAGAGGGTGGAGTGACAACAACACCAGCTACCACTCGCTTCCCTGAGCAGGTCACCCAGAGTGGACATTGACCCACAGAGCTGTAATCATAACGATAATAACTAATATTTATTGACTGCTTTGCCCCAGATGTTCTTGTGAGCACTTGATACTCCCTGACTCATGAATCCTCACCACCCCTTATACACTGGGTGTTATGATTCTCCCCACTTCACACCTGAGGAAACAGGGAGGGTCACTCACCTGCCCAGGATCACTGGACAGCACGGAGAAAAGCCAGGATTCCAGTTCAGGTGGGTTGACTCCAGGACCAGTGCCCTTCCTCCATATCATGTCCCTCCCCATGGTGGCACGTTGACTCCACTTGTGTGATTATGTGACTGATACTACACACACACACACACACACACACACACACACGTGTGTAGGTTTGATGAGGATGAGAACATGCTTGTTGCTCATAACAGGCTGTCAGTAAATATTTCTCTTCATCTAATTGCCCTTCTTGGTAATGTTTGCAGCAACCTTTAGCACTGGCTGCTACCTCTCACTGCCTACCATCCATCAAGGGCTCAGTCCCTCCTCTGCCTGTCCCATCACCAGAGAGAGCAAGGTATACTCCTTTCTAAGGCAGATGATAACATATAGATATCTTCTGAGGATTGAAGGATATATATGAAGTGATATGTAACATGACTATATTATTAAAATTATGAAGTTTAATATATATATGTAATAATATATATGTATGTATGTATGTATATATAAGATATATAACAGAAATATAAAATATAATCATATAATGCATAGTAAAGTATATCTGACATATGTAGACTTTTTTTCTCCTGCGTTCTTCCACGAGTCAAGCCTACCTTCAAATATCTTAGGTCACTTGCCTCTCGCAACAACCGTGATGGTTCACTTTAAGCATCCACTTGGCTAAGCTATGGCACCAGTTGTTCGGCCCCTTCTAGTACTTTGATTCAACCACTCCTCACACAGCCTTGCCAGGGACCTGGGAACCTTACCATGTTTTAATGGGCTTGGAGAAGTCAAATATCTCACTCAGGGAAATGCAGCAAGCAGAGAGTTAGACTCAAACCCCCGTCCCCCAGAATCCACAGCCCTTGGTCTTCTCCCTACTATTCGTGGCTAATTCATCCATTGCAAGGATTTACTGTAGTAGAAGCCTAGGGAACGACTCTGGGAGAAAGCCCAGGCTCCATTTATGACTCAACTACATTTGTTGAGCTTTCTCTAATCTCCTGGATTGGACGTTGATCCAAATGACTTAATCGCTTATTGCTGTTCATGATTGTTTTGTCCTGCAAACCTCCCTTTATCAGCAAAAACCTATTTGCTGAACACTTAATCATCAGGATACCATTCAGGGCCATCTGAGTAGCATCAACTCCCAAGTACCAATGCTTTAAAATTAATTAAGATTTACACTAGCGGACACTTTTTCCTCCCAAATTCATTTGGCTTTAATGAAAATGAGTGTGAGGTGCTTTCTGCCCACGCACAGCAGCAAGGTGAAGTGATGGGGAGAAAGAGGTCTGGATGTCCAAATTTATATTAAGAGTTGAGGCTGTGTATCCAGGAAAACGCCTGGCGGGAGCACTCCAGCTCCAACAGGCTGCTCATTGAGACACGGGAGCGTGCAAGCCTCCTCGGTCCCCGCTCTCCGCACTGCGTGTGCAGAGTTGCCAAGCTGGTGATTGGCTGTCGGGCTGTTCGGCCTGATCCATGAGCAGCCGATTGGGACAGGCTGAGACTAGGAGTTTTCCTGTGAGTGTTGGGCCATGAGCTGTGTGCCTGCGTGATCCGGCCAGGGCTTTCCTGGCGAGTTTGTGCAGGCTGGTTGCCAGTGCAGGAGTGCATGCTGCTCTGACTTGGTGGGGGCCACTGACCACATCCTGTGGTGCCTTGGGGGCTGCCCCACCCACCTAGAGCTGTGTTGACAGGGGCACCCTGAGCCTTTGATGCTTGGCCCCCACCTCCGCAAGCTATGGAGGGTTTTTTGCAGCAGCAGACAGTTCGCAACAACCTGTGAGGATTTTTGGTGATGAGAACAGTTCCAGAGCACACAGCAGCTAATTGCGGGAAGCTCACTGCAAGCCTAAGAGGGAGGCCGGCCCATGATGCGTTGAGCCCTTCCCTGCAACAGCTGGTGTTGAGTCGCCCAGAGTCTCTCTATTGCTGATCAAGTGGTCTGCATTTAAAGGGGCGGAGAGCCTCCCCTTTTTTTTCTTCTTCTTCTTTTTTTTTCCTTTTTTTTTTCTAGGTGATCTATCTAATACATCGAAGCAATCACAGAGCAACAGCCAGAATGAAGAAACAAAGAAACATGTCCCAAGTAAAAGATCAGAAGAAACCTCAAGAAATGGAACTAAATGAAACAGAGGTATCCAACCTTTCAAAGACAGAGTTTAGAACACTGATGATAAGAATGTTTAAGGAACTTAGTGAGAACATAAAAAAGGATACAGAAATCATAAAAAACACCCAGTTAGAACTAAAGAATACAATAACTGAAATGAAGAACACGCTCAAAGGAATCACCAGTAGATTAGATGAAGCAGAGGATCGGATCAGTGATTTAGAAGACAAAATAGCAGAAATCACCCAGTTGGAACAACAAAAAGAAAAAAGAATGAAAAACAATGAAAATACTTTAAGAGACCTATGGGACAACATCAAGCACAACAACATTCGCATCATAGGAATACCAGAAGGAGAAGAGAAGAATCAAGGAATCGAGAATGTATTTGAAGAAATAATGACTGAGAACTTCCCTACCCTGGTGAAGGAAATCGACATACAAGCCCAGGAAGTGCAGAGAGTTCCAAACAAGCTGAACCCAAACAGGTCCACACCAAGACTCATCATAGTAAAAATGGCAAAGCTTAAAGACAAAGACAGGATCCTAAAAGCAGCAAGAAAAAGACAGCAGGTTACATACAAAGGAACTCCTATAAGACTAACAGCTGACTTTTCTACACAAACTCTGCAGGCGAGAAGGGAGTGGCAGGAAATATTCAAAGTGACACAAAATAAAGGCTTACAACCAAGATTGCTCTACCCAGCACGGCTATCACTTAAAATTGAAGGAGAGATAAAGAGCTTCTCAGAAAAAGAATAAACTTAAGGCATTCATTACCACCAAGCCAGCATTGCAGTAAATGCTAAATGGGCTTTTTTTAAACAGAAGAAAGGTGAAAACAAGCTAACCCAGGAAGATCAGAAATACAAATAACAAAATGATAACAAATATGCACCTATCAATAATCACTTTAAATGTGAATGGATTAAATGCTCCAATCAAAAGATGTAGAGTGGCTGAGTGGATAAAAAAACAGGACCCATGCATATGCTGTTTACAAGAGACTCATCTCAGATCAAAAGGCACACATAGACTGAAAGTAAAGGGGATGGAATAAGATATTTCATGCAAATGGAAATGAGAAAAAATCTGTAGTAGCAATACTTATTTCAGACAAAATAGACTTTAAAATGAAAATTACAATAAAAGACAAAGAAGGGCACTACATAATAATAAAGGGAACGATTCAACGAGAGGACATAACCCTAGTAAACATCTATGCACCCAACATAGGAGCTCCTAAATATATAAAACAGAGATTGACCAACACAAAGACAGAGATGACAGTAACACTATTGTAGTAGGGGACTTCAACACCCTGTTGTCACCAATGGACATATCCTTCAGACAGAAAATCAACACAGAAACAGCGGCATTAAATGACACGTTAGACCAGCTGGATATAATCAATATTTTTAGAGGATTTCACCCCAAAGCAACAGACTATACATTCTTCTCAAGTGCACATGGAACATTTTCCAAGATAGACCACATGTTAGACCACAGAACAAGTCTCGATAAATTTAAGAAGATTGAAATCATATCAGGCGTC